CCCTTATTTCATAGACTCATGAAATTTTGTAGCTAGAAAGAGCCCTAGAAAGTCTCTCTTCTCAGTTTACAGAGAGGGGAGGGAGAAAAGTAAGAGATTTGCCCAAGATAATACAGCTCTTTAACAAGGAGCCAGGACTATCCATTTCCAGCTATCAAATGTTGATTGTCTCACTAGACAGTTATGTTCTGAGTCACAGTCTACACAGTCTAGCATACATGCTACCCCGAGCATCTGAGGCCCTGTCGGAACTGTTATGGCTTAATAATCTAGACCTAGAAGACTTCTGAATCCTACCCTACCAGGTTTACAAAGTCATTTTGACATGATTGATTAAATCCTAGGGCACAAATGATGTCATCGTGGCTGCACTTCTTCCTCCTCTCTGTACAGGCTAACTCTCTGTAACCCCTGTGATGCCATCAGCACCCCTACCTTCACATCACACTAGTTTGAATGAACACACCTTTAGGGGACAGATGCCAAAGAGGGTTCTCACTGGCCCAACTCCTGTCATATGGCCCATGCTGTGTCCCACAGGTAGGACATTCTATCTCTCCTGATCACTTGGCCACTAGTGAGAAGAGAGGGTCCTGGCTAACTCAAATGGAATCTGCTCCATACACGAAGGAAAGAATTCCTTTTGCTATAAATCTGTGTTCCTAGAAGAGAAATACACGTTGGGCAGGCAGAAGCAACAACTATCCACCTCAGATGTCAATCAGACTACACGCGTAGTAATTTTTTATCTGACGGTGGACATTGTGAATGTGACAATGCTAAAACTTTGGATATCATTGTCGTCTTTTAGAAAAGGATGAATTTTGATCTGGCAAACCTTTCCTTTTCTGGCAGATGAACTGGAGCTAGTGGAGGCTTGGCCTTAGGGCAGATCTAGAGTGGTCCTTACTCTAGGGCTGGAGTATTATAAGGCATTGCCTTTTTGGGGTCTCAGCTGAATCTTGGGAGTGTTCAGGAAGGTCTCTTTTCTCTGGATGGTTGGAGTTCCAACATCTCCTTGCAGTGTGCAACCTTCAGAAACCCTTTTCTGCTCACATCATAGCTGTTTTGGCTAGGCCTTGTGTGTACTCGGCTTAATATTTGGCTAAAGACTCAAGGGAACCCTTATGCCTATTTCTGGAGTTCTTTCTTCATGCAGCTTCTTCTTTAATACCCTGCCCCACAATGTCCTGCCATATCTGCCAGCCAGATCTCCATTTCCTCCACCCAGCTGCAAATCTGTTTGGACTCCACTTCCTGAGCCGCAGTTTGAAAAGTGCCCCTAGGCAGAAAGCCAAGAGGAATGTGGAGCTCATCTCCTGTGTTTCCCTCCTCTCAAGGATAAGTTATGTACCGCCTATTGTCCAGTTACTGAAAACTGTTGCTCCAGAATTTTGTCCAGGTTTATATTCGCTTACATCCATCTACCCATTGCAGCCAAATGTACAACCTTTTTTATGATACTGTAACTGAAGCACAAATAGATTTCATCACGCAACCGAGCTTGGCTCTATATGCAAGGCTACTTCATAGTCACAGAAAATTTCCTGAAAAATACTGAGGACAACTCAGTTCTCTTTAAATGAGTTATGGGAGGTGGGAACTTAATCTGGGGTAAATCCTTTGTGAAAATGAATAATCCTTTCCTGATTAATCTGTATCTCTAAAAATTCGGATATTTACTTATCTCCTTATTTTCTTTTCAACAAGAATGTGATTGCCTGTTGAATTTGGAGTAAGGGGAAGAGAAATGGCCTTAAATTTAGAAGATCCATTTTCAAACCCCAGCAGACCTTGACATCTCTGTGCTTGAGGTTGTCTGTAAACTAGCTAAAAATGCCAACTTTTCAGGATTGTTATGATTATTTTCCACATTCTTGCATTTTTTTTTTTTTGACCAGTCATGGTGTAGGGGACTAGGCAAATCTACAACTAGGTGACATTAGAGCTATTCCTTGAGCTAGCTGATGTCCTTTTTTCTATATAGCTAAATATAATATTATTAAAATGTTTGAACATGAGGTATTTCAATATGAGAAAGCAAGCAAATCCAAAATTATTACTGAAAGAAAAGACAGTATTTGCCACTTTAAAATATGTCTTTTAGCACTTGGGTTTGCCTTATAGAAGTTTGCATTTCTTTTCTTTTCTTTTTTGTTAATACCTGAGTCATAAGATCTGAGTCTTTATAAAAGAGAAGTAAACCAGAGGGAAAAAAACTGTGTGCCAAAGAATCCGTGTATTTGAGTGTTTAACAGTTTCATAATCCAGGTTTATAATGTGTGGAGAACAGTAGACTATTTTAAGCACATTAGCTTTGCTAAAAATTAACTTTTTACATTCCTAGTAAATACGGTGAAATTTAAGCTTTGAATATTTTCCATCATTGCCTATGTTCTGGACCTCGGTTTGTTAACATTCATTTGCAAGCAACATGACTCAAGCATTTTATCTTCGTACATATATCCCTAGGAGAAAGTGAAATAGGTAGCCCGTGATAAACTAAAACTTAATTTTAGCCTCACTTTACTTTTCATTTCTGTTTGTGTTCATTGTATATTCTCATTAAAATCTAGAAAGATAAATGTTTAAAAACCCTCATCCAAAAAAATATAATATTCTGTCCTGGATTCCACAAATGTTTTAATTCACAGTCATTTTATATGATGTGAAAATGTTATAACTATTTGTTTTTTTAAATAATAGTATTGGTCTTAAAGACTTTATTTCACCAAGAAGTTATACATTTTATTAGTCTTTAAAAAAGACATTATAAATATATACACATAAACAAACATTTAAATATGTTACACATATATACATACATATACTTAAATACTCTTTAAAGCATAACAGAAACAAATAACATATATGTATTCTCTTTCTATGTATTTTTCCATTGTAGCTTCAGGATGAGTATTTGTTTTTAAAAAATAGGTGCTTCAGTGTCTATCTTTACCTATAAGCTTATAATGTTGTCTCAAAAAGTATTTAGTGTTTAATTTGTTCTGAATTGCCCCAAAGTTAATAAAGTTCTGTGCAAACTAAATTTATACCGTTTGATTGGGTACATCCTCTGTGTCTCCTTTTTTTACTTAAAATAGTTGAATTACTCTGGTGAATTAAGACGTTTTTCTTTGTTACTTCAGTTTTCCAACTTAAACGCATTATAAAATGACGGCATGTTTGCAGGTCTGAAAACCAGGTGTCTGTTTATTGTAATCCCCATCTGCCTTGTCTGTTTTCGTAGGGGGCTTGTGAGAGGTCCCTTGCTACTGTCACTCCAGCAAGTATGGGAAGAGTACTACCTTTGTGTGCTCATTCAGGCAGCCAGGAGTCGTGGCTAGCCTCCAGGGCGTCAGCTGAGGCCCCAGCGTGCCTGGGCTGTTTGAGAGGTCATCTGATAGAAAACTCACCAGTGAGGTTGCCATAAATGGTATCCACTTGCTTTCAGAATGGATCAGACTGGGGCTAAAAGACCTGTGTTGACTTTAGTTCACATACAATTTCATTCTCTCCTGGGTGTTTGCACATATATTATCTTGCCAGATCATGGGAAAAGAGCAGCCAGAAGGCTCCCTTTGGTTTATGAGAGCCAGTATCTCACACCAAGGAGTCTTGTTTAAGTTTTGTTTAAAAATTAACAGTCTAGACTTTGGTCTTTGCTGGGGGCTTCCAACCTTTTTTTTAAAGTCATAGAACTCTTTCTCCAAAAGAAATCTTCAGCTGACACCCAATATATAAAAGTGCTTATAGCACATTCGGGTGGGGGGTTCAGAGTCTTTCCCTCGTTGGCTTTATCTTTTCGATGTCCCTGAGGAGGTTCCTATACCCCTTGTGGCTCCATGGAGCATAGTCTGAAAACCATTGCAAAAATGGACCTATAGGAATCCTACCTCTGACATCCTGTTTTGCTTTCGATGGATGTCCTGTCACACTTTATAGAAGGTTTTGTTTTTCACAGTGATGGACGAGGCATCCTGGTGCAGTAGTGAAGGCCCCCAATCATGATTCAGTTGGGCTTTAATGTAGTATGTGACTTTGAGCAGGTCATTTGATTTCCTGGACTTTGGCCTCCCCTATCAGTAAAATGGGGGTGGTCAGACAGGCATGAAATATGCCTAGAAATTGTCTGCTTAAAGATATTGTGTCAATGGGATTAGACAGAAGAAGCTATTGATCTCTGACTCACCCCAGTTTACATGGTGATCTCTGGATCACTCAGGCACTACTTCTCTGGTCCATTCGGTTGTAGCCAGGGTAGGGTCTCAAAACCAGAGCAGATTACGATATGCTGAAGTGTCTATGGCTACTTTTCCCATAAGGGAACTCTGCATCACATGTGTGTACGGTCTTGAGATTTCCTCTTGCATACATTGGGCTAGATACTGGTTTTAAATTAATACCATAAATATTTAATCTGATGGCATATACAGAACACTGGTTTCGGAGTTGAAGGATCCCGTGTTGTGTTGGAGATGGCTTGTACCACCTCAGGAGAGCCAACATGGCACATCCTCCCAACTCGCATGCAGTGACATCATGTTGGTAGCTTGAAAATGGCTGTAGAGGGATTGGTAGTGGTAGCACTCTTGTTGCCAATTTTTGTTGGGAGGAGAAAGAATATGAAGAGCATGAACTTAACCTATTTTCCTTCAATAAAGAGATAGAATGAATGTCACTCATACCAGATCTTACAGATCTTATAAACACAAAATTACATATGCTTTTAAAGAGTCATAAATATCAAACATAGGTTGAACTACCTTGAAATGTATTTGAAGTCACTCTTTAAAATGGAGCCACAGACTAATAAAGGACCCATGCCTCCAGCACTTCCAAGGATTAGGACCACTGGGTACTGAAGGGTTTCTGTTGGGCACAAGCTTCCAAAGTGCCCTGATTTCAGCCCCGAGGATGCTTCTGCTGATACCACCATGACACAGTATAGATGAGGAGATAGGAATGGCTTTCTTCTTCTTATGGAAGGTGCAAGAAGCCAGGCAGTGTCTTACTTTGTGAGTAATACTCATCTGTCCACACTAGGATCTGGATGAAAGGGTGGCCATCAGTGATCCTAGCACTGCTGGCAACTTCTAGAGGGGCTTTCAAATTAAACCTAAAAGAAAATCCCTGCATAAAGCAATGGATGGATAAATGATTATCATTAATAGGATAATGACATAAAACTTCTATCCAGTGTACTTCAAAGAATGTGATCTTGTTCACCTTTTGAATGAACACATAATAGTAATCTTGTCTTAAGCCTTACCCAAAACAAACAAACAAACAAAAAAAGGATGCCTGGGTGGCTCAGTCAGTTAAGCGTCTGCCTTCAGCTCAGGTCATGATCCAGGGTCCTGGGATCGAGTCCCGCACCAGGCTCTCTGCTCAGCGGGGAGCCTGCTTCTCCCTCCGCCTGCCGTTCTCCCTGCTTATGTTCTCTCTCTCTCTGACAAATAAATAAATAAAATCTTTTTTTTTTTTTTTAAAGCCTTACCTAATGTTCACTAGTTGTACATTCAGTATAACCTTTTTCTTTTTTGTGGACCAGGGCTCTGGTGATGTTACCCTGGGGCCTATAGGGTTCTTGGGTAAAAAATATTTTCAAGACTGGTACAGAGACAAACCTGGACCTTTTACTTTGTACTTGAATCTTAAGCTAAATTTGTCATTTTGAAATTGTGCTTGTCATAGCTAGGATTTTAAACTTCTTTATTGCTTAGCAGTATACTATACTGGTTAAGAGAATGGACTTAAAAATTAGAACAGTCTTGGAGTTTTGGCTCTATTACCTACTGTTTCCCTGACCTTGTGAAGTTTCTTAACCTCCTTAAGCCTCTGTTTCTATAGCCATCAAATGGGACTAATAATAGTCTTTCTTTCCTGGGGCTCTTTTGAGAATTACATGCAAACAGAGCTTAATTAACGTAAAGCCATTAACCTCTTTAAAGAAATGAGCCCAATGGTAATATGGGCTAAATTCAAGTGATAACTTCAGTTAGACTCTTGACCAGCAATGTGGTGAAACTGGAGCCAGAGTGGCCAAAGCTAAAAATGAAGCCACCTCCCAGCTTGGGAAGCCCTTGGAGTCAGTCTGAACTCGTCAGAAGTAAAGCTGATGTGGAGAAGATAGGGTGAAATGGTGTCTGAAGCATGGCATTATGCCTGGTGAGATTCCTTAGCACTCCCTGTAATTATCCACTTGGGTTTGGGGGGCTGTTCCGCAGACCAGTGGGGTGACTATGGAATACTCTGGAAGGGTGAAGTGTCATTTCTCCCAGTAGTCACTCTGTGAATTATTAGCTATGTTGAGTGGTGCATTCCATGTTGGGGAATCTCCACCTCCTGCTCCTTTGTGCACACGCACGTGCACACATCACACACACCCTGCCTCCATCATCTTGACACCATGCCACAATAAAGCCAGAGTGGCAATGGACCTCAAAGGGGAGCCCAATGCATTGTGAAGTAATGGAGCATGCTAGAAAGAAGAGTCATCCATACAGATTTTTTTTTTTTTTCAACATAAAGATTCCAGGGCAGAGGCCTACCAACAGTGAGATGGTGGGAATTGTCTGTCCCAGGCACTGCAGGCAATGAGGGGCACATTGTCCGCAAATAATTTTAAAACAATAATAAAACCAACAAAAAGTCTGTTGGCTTTTTACTAACATTCTGCCCTGTTCTAAACAATCTCAATAATAAAACACTCCACCTGCAAAATATATTTTGTTGATCTAAGTTCTATGTAATTGCTGCAATGAAATTGTTAAGTGCTAGATATTTCAGCATCAAATTAGTACAGTTTAGTACTTATCTTTTGATGAACATAAATTCATGTGCAAGGTAATTTGGGGAACTCCCAGTTACCCAACCAGCCCCAGCACACAGGACTCTGGGGCACGTGTTAGTTCCCAGAATTAGTTCCTAAAGTTTTGAATGATGATGTTTGATGCTTTGAGTACAGTTTAAGTCTCCAACCCTTGGGGCAATACATAGTTAGCAGTTAAATAGATTCAAAATAAACAATGATAGCCCAATGCTTTTACAGTCAAGGAAAACAGAGCTTGAGTTTGTGACCACCTGGAATTTTTGTGTTTTAAATTTAAAACAGTTGAAACAGAGCGTATACACTGGGAGGTGAAATATTTGTGTTTGGTGAGTACAGATTTTACTTAAACATGAAATATGTTTGTTTCCTTTTACTATTGTTGTTGAAAAAATGTTTAAAAATGACCCAGCCCAGAGGTAAAATAGTGCTCCAGTGTTGGGTTCAGACAAACGGACAGACCTCTATCTTCTGACCTCTTGCAATAAAAGTTGATTTTACTATTTTCTTCTCATCCTTCCTTTCTGGAGCTGTTCCCAAAATGCAGAACTCCCTGTTGTGGGAACAGTGTGTGTAGTGAGAGGCCCTTTGAAGCCAGTAGAGACCAGAATTCAAACCTCAGCTCTGCCACTCACCAGCTCGCAGGCCTCCCTGGGATGCATTGCTTAATCCCGCCTTCCTCTTTTGCAAAATGAGAATACAATTTGGTGGCAGAGTCGTGAAAAAGAAATCAGACGTAGCGTGGCAGGTGTCCTCCACAGCGCTTCACGTGGTAGATACGAATGTTAGTTTCCTCCTCCCTCCCCACCTTTCTCCTTCTCGTTCCCTCATTGCCACGTTATCTCACCTGCCAGGGCTCTTGTCTTCACAGGATTAGAATAGTTGAAAATAATATCTACATGATATTAATAGCACCTTACATACTCAACAACTAATATAAGACCACTGTTTATAATCTGATCCGTCCCCCCTGAAACCCTCCCAACTCCACTTACAAATGCGGGACTTTCTGAGCTACAGTCCAGGTGTCAGATGCTGTGTAAAACCTGCCTGGATGGGTCAAGTCATTCTTGCACACACACAGTGAGGGAGGAAATGCTTGTACGTCGTGAGTTCAGGCGTACGTGACATTTTGTGTTCTTAGCCATTGCCAGAGAAACAGGGTAATCAAGGTGACCGTAGGCAGAGTGTTGGATGGCAGCTTCTATTGGCTTCTGCAATGAAGGACATACACACCTGGAAGAAAGGAAACGGGACTCAATTAGGTTGAGGCAGTTTATTTCATTTTTGTGGCTAGTTCAGTGTGTGCTGGTAGGTGGCCCCCAAAAGAGCATTTTCAACGTTTCCTCAACCTTTCTATCCCTTCCTTCTCTGAAGTTGGAGCGTTGTGTCTAATCCTCTTTGGTGTATACCTAACATTAATTTTTCTAGTACCTCCTGTCTTATTGTATCCAACAGGATAAAAGCTATTCTGCCTTTGACTTAGCTTATAGCAGTTGTAGAAGGATCAAATTAGATAATATAGAGGAAAGATATTATAGATCATAAAGCAGTTACATATGTTAGACATTATTAGTCTCTTATATCGGAGTCACTATGACCCACAGACCAATTCTAGCTTTCCATCTGTTTTTGTGCTAACCTGGTTAGTCCCTTTTAGGATTTTGGCTTGAAGTAGGTCTCAGGTGTAAGTCCACTCATATTAAGCCCCAGGCTTATGCTCCCAGTCTCACATATGGCCCCGTGGCAATTGCAGTTTATTCATTTGCTCACCACCACTTTTCTTGGTTTAGTTCATCATACCCCTTCAAGATTATCTGCAAGCCCAGCATTCACACATTTTGCTTGCTGTAATCTAGTTGTATTGCTGTGGGAAGTCCTCCAGAATATCCAACAAAAGTGGAAATCTAGGGGCATCTGGGGGGCTCATTCGATTAAGTGTCCAACTTTTGATTTTGACTCAGGGTCATGATCTCAGGGTGTGAGATCCAGCCCTGCATCAAGCTCTGTGCTGAGCATGGAGCCTGCTTAAGATTCTCTCTCTCCCTCTCCCTGTGCCCCTCCAGTTCCCCTGCCCCAGCTCTCTCTCTCCAAAAAAAAAAAAAAAAGGTGGAGCTCTTCAGAGCATGTTACATGCCTTAGTGTTGCTATTGTAGGTAAGAAAACAGGAAGTCAAGCAACTTTGCTGTTTTATAGCAGGACTTGAACCCAGTCAATCTGAGCCCAACCCAAAGACTAACTTCTGTACTATATAGTAAGCAGCTATATCAAGCCTGAATGGTGGTATGTACCCTGTGGGGAAATAAGCCCAAGGGATAGTTATTTCATGTCCCTGTTAATCCCAGCATGGTTAATAAAGACCACAGGGTTTTTTCCCCTGACTGCAGTTCCCAACTTAAAGCATTAAAATCTTTGTTTAATATATAAAATGTTTTTACCATTTATTCCTCTGAGTTAACCAGGTGTTTAACCACCATGCTGGTGTTGAAGGCTTCCCTGGGCTCGTCCCGTGTGTGAATGTTCACTCCCTCTTCAGTGTCTTTATTAAGCTCTGCCTGCAGGTCTTCTAATTCTTCTGGAATGGTTCCATATCCTTCTTCCCCATAAGCTGAAAGTTCTTTGAAGGTAAGGAGTCCATATGTGAGTCAGCTTTATATCCTCGGCCCCCAGCTCACTTCCTGGCAAACAATTGGTGCTCAGTACACGTTCATTGAAGGAATTCTGAACGTGTCATCAAATCTGCAAATGTTGACTAGCAGTACTTAAAAAGGAGCAGCTGTGTCATACTCACAGAAATAATGAACATGAAACCAAGACCTGTTGAGTGGCAATACAAAAACCTCACTTCTGGGTTCTTAAAATGATCAGAGCACACATGCTTTCAGGAAGTACAGAGACTGACAGGTTGGTGAGCAAAGACATGGGTGAAGAAAGCAAGCAGCCGAGGTTGGCCTTGACCTCTCTCTCCCACCATTGCTGCCACCTGGCCATGACTTTCCCCAAGCTCATGGTAAAGGTGAAGTGAAAGAGAAATTCTGTCTTGCCCCAACTCACCCAGCTATGGTCTAGATTGGGACTTCTCTGGAAGTCACCAGCATGTAAGATAGGATAAGATAATGACTACATTAGGACAAATGGCAGATGCTTATTCTATATGGATTGAGTCAGCTCTGACTCCAGTCTGGTTGATAGCTAGCTGTCCAATTGACACACTGTGTATATCCCTACCGCCAAAAACTGGAAGTGGATAGAGTTGTCTTTAAAGGCTAATCTCTACGTTGACTGACACATCTGGATTACAATGAGACTCTTTAGGTGTAATTACATGGACTGGTTTCCTAAGAACAGTTCCAATTTCAAATATCTCACCCCATTTTAAGTATACCTATACTTGTCATTCATATTTTGCTTTTTAGTTTGGAAAAGGCAATACTAGGTTTTAATACGCCAATAATGTGTACCTGATTAATATTGGAAGTAGCCAAGTAAACAAATAATTCTGACCTTCCAAATGCATTACACAGGTTTTTAGCTAATAAGTGTGGTTGAGGTCAAAATACCCCTTGTTAAAACTTCTTATTTCTTTCTCTCCTTTCTAAGTTTACCAAATGTGGCAAAAGTTATTTGCTTTGCCAATACATTGAGATTATTGATGAGGAGAAAAATATACTCTCAGTGAATTTGTATTTCTCATGAGCATCCAGGAGCCATATAAAATGGTCACTAAGGAAGGAAATATAAGACCTAAGAAGTACAAATGTTTTTACAAGTACAGTGTTATTACAGGAGACTCCTGTAAAGTAATTGTACCATGCAGTATTGAGGCTTTTAAAGTTCAAACTCTTAAAAATAAAATTAAGATTATTAAGAAAATCAAATTAATTTTTCCACCTTCATATGACAATTGATCATCTTGTTTACAAGTGCCTTATTTCTTTGTGATTCCCAAAGTAGCAATCCAGGTTGTAATAATGACTATCAATGGGTTTGCTCTTTACACAGTATTTTATCTACAGCCCAAAGATTAAACTTCCCAGGACCTTTTCAAGCAGCCACGTTATTAAAGTTGTTTAAGCAGTTCCAGTCGGTTGAAAAGCCTTAGTTTATTTGTTTTTATAAAGTCCAGTGACATAAAGTTGGCTGCAGCCTCTGTGGCATTCATCATTTCCTCTCTGCAGTCTGTCAGCTTCCAAACATGGGCAGACAGAGTGCCCGTTCTGCCCTCTGCCTATTCCTGCACACTCCTGAGCACCTCCAAGTCCTGACGCAATGGCTCTTTGCTGGATGGGCTCACTCTTTCAAGTAACTCTTGGTGAAGAAGCAGGAAATCATGCTCTTGGATAAAAAATAAGCTAATAAATGTGGCAGGTAACTGATTTTTCTTATAAACACAGGGCTTAGAAATGTTTTTAAATGAGGCAGCGGTCTCTAACATGCTAGAAATGGAGAAGCCTTCACTTGGGGCATTATTCTATACATACCTCAAAGTAAGATACAGCAGAGTGGATAAAATTAGGAAAAATGGGCATCCAGATACAGAGACTCTGGGTGTTTATACATAGATATATACATATCTGTGAGCCATAGTCTCACTGTAAAATGATGTCTTTTGCTTATTTGTTATTTCTCGGAAGCAACACAAATTTTTAATAATATTTAAAATATTTTCATAGAGTTTTTCAAGGCCTACTTTAATCAGCTGTTTGTCATAAAAGGTATAACCTCCATGGCTATTCTCTCTTGTTTATTGTCACCTTTGTAACTGTTTATGTGACCATTCTCAGCAACCCTTTCTTTAGGGAGCAGTATAAGCCACATAAAATTATTTGTTATCATTTATAGTCTTGTTTTTGGGCAGGTGGTAAAGAAAGATTTGGGGCTCTGGAATCAGAACTAGGTTTGAATTCTGATCAGCTCAATAACTAGGTAATATGGGACAGTTTATTTAAACTTTTCAAATCCCAGTTTTCTCATCTGTGAAATGGGGTTACTAATATCTACTTCATAGGATTATTGTAAAGATTAGAAATAATTTGTGGGTCTGTACCTCTGAAACAAATAATACATTATATGTTAAAAAAAAATGAAGTGGGGAATCAGAGTGGGAGACGAACCATGAGAGACTATGGACTCTGAGAAACAAACAGGGTTCTAGAGGGGAGGGTGGTGGGGGGATGGGTTAGCCTGGTGATGGGTATTAAAGAGGGCATGTATTGAATGGAGCACTGGATGTTAACAAACAATAAATCATGGAACACTACATCAAAAACTAATGAGAACACTACATCAAAAACTAATGATGCAATGTATGGTGATTAATATAACATAATAAAATTAAAAAAAAAAGAATTTGTGGGAAGTTCTATCTCGAAGGCTCCTACTGACTATTGGCTTTATTAAAATATAAAGTATCTGAAACAAATAATACATTATATGTTAATAAAAAATTTTAAAACATTTAAAAAAAAATAAAATAAAGTAGATACCTGAAAGGTATTTCTCTGGGAGAAAAAAAAATATATATATATATATACATATTTATATGTGTGTGTGTGTGTGTGTGTGTCTGAAAAAATAGTAGACATTTAGAAAAGACAGTTTCCTTCCATCCTGAACCACCACATTAACTCACTGAGGTTGGCACGGTCAAGTCATTACTCCAGTAATAGGTCAGATGACTGAGGGGACACGTCACTGTAACTTTGACACATGTCTGCGCACATATTACTCAAGCTCCTCTGTTACTGTTTCCAAAACTTCCCTCTATCTCCTTGGATTTTTTTCCCTACCATCATGTGCTTTTCAAATATCGGTTTGCCAAGTAGTCCTAAATAAACACACGTTTGCATTAAGAGAGCAAAGCCTTCATAACTGAACCCAGTTATCTATTTCGTTTCAAATAAGGCTGAGGTGGAATTTTCATGTTTGTACTTCGAGCAGTCATGAGGGATGCATGAATTGAGCCTTGTGGTATTTCCCTTACTCCATCCATCCTTAGTAACAAAGGAGAAAATTGGGGATTTATGTAAGGAATGGAAAGTAATCTCAAATTGTTTAAGGGCATTTACGTATATTAGAAGGCAGAGTGCCACATTTTTCTAATTTCTCTGTCCTGCGTGTGGAAGTTCAGACTTTTCCACTAGCAAAATACACATACACATGTAGCAAACTACATTTTTCTAGAAATTCTAAAATTTATTATTTGAAATTACTGAGCTTAAAATGTCAAGTCAGCAATTTATTTCTTATCTTCAAATTATATTAAGATTTAAGAAACATCTCAACCATCAAGCTCATTACTTAGTTTCAAAAAATGTTTTCTGCTTGTGTATCTTTTTTCAGACAGTTTTCAAAAAGCATTTGAATACATTATTTCTTTCCTTTTCCTTTCTTTTCTTTCTTTCTCTTTTTTTTTTCCCCCAGAAAAAAACGTGTTTTAATCTTTACTTCCTTGAACTTCGCTTTTTGGTTTGGCCAAACACCGTACGAATGAATGCCGTATGGACTAAGCACTTTGACCCACTGAAAGCTCAGGCTTAAGTAGATTGCTTAATATTTACCAAGTGCTCCCAAGACTTCAGGCACATTCAGCCAGCTCAGGAATCCTGTATTTGGCGTGAGTTGAATTCTATCCAATTTATTTTTGGATGAGGGAATGTTGGAGTGGTCTTAGAAACCGAGTCAATGCATTCTCTGCAAAAGTCTTTCAGAGTCCTGGGGACATATTGGCATTACATGTGGTCACTTCCTACGGTGTCTTTGGACTCCTAAATTCTTTTGCTCTCACTGGATGAAATTCTTAAGCAGTTTAAAGTCAACGTGGCCCTTGACTTACTCACCTCCAGGAAACAGGACTTGCTAAACGATGATTTATTTCCCATCACCATAATACTTCAGAAGGTCCATCTCCTCAACAAATGATTATCCAAGAAGTGGTATCAACTGCTCTGAAAACTAAAAATTACTGTAACCATAGGAAACAAAAATAGTTGACTTTGGGGTTTTTCCTTCATTTTCTCATTGGCTCCCAGTAACTGCCCTAGTCCAAACTACACGTGATATAGCTCCACTCCTAGGATTTAACTGTTGCATTTACGACTTCCCAAAATAATGAATCATGGAACACTACATCAAAAACTTATGATGTAATGTACGGTGATTAACATAATAAAAAAAAAGAAAAAGAAAAGAAAAAGGGGCGCCTGGGTGGCTCAGTCTTTAAGCGTCTGCCTTCGGCTCAGGTCATGATCCCAGGGTCCTGGGATCGAGCCCTGCATCGGGCTCCCTGCTCCGCGGGAAGTCTGCTTCTCCCTCTCCCACTCCACCTGCTTGTGTTCCCTCTCTTGCTGTGTCTCTCTCTGTCAAATAAATAAAATTTAAAAAAAAAAAAGGTCCAAAAGTGTTAAAACAACAATAGAGTGGGTCATAAATTTTTATGAGCTGTCATGTCAAGGTCTTACGTTTATGTCTCCTCCCTACCAGCTTCTCATTTGTGATCTTGGACAAATGCAACATCTTTAAACTTCATGCTCAGCATTTGTTAAGGGGATTAATTATTGCACCTATCTTTTAG